AGTCTGATCACTGAGCCTTCATATGATGCTATTTTTTTTTCCCTAGAAACCTATAGGATCATCTCTTTGCTCCAAATGTTATGTATTTTTATGGTGACATGCCTTAGCGTGTGGGTCTGTTTCATCCACTGTAGTAAGCATTCCATCCTTAGTCAAGAGATTTATACTCTTAAATTCTGGAGATTTTTCCTGATTTATTTCTTGAATCATTTCTTCCTTTTCTATGTTCTCTTTCTGCATCTCGTATTGTTGGCATGTTTAGATTTCCACGAGTGGATCTCAATCTTTCTAATGTATCCCCGTTTCTGTTTCTTTGTCTTTGCAGTGTTTCTAAAGGTTTTTTCTTTTACTTTACCTTCCAAGCCTTCTGCTGAGTTTATTTTTAAATCTGTGCCCAGTGCTTTTTGTCCTCAAGGGGAAAATGTTTTAATTTCTGTTTATATTAACAGAATTAAGGTAGTTCGACTTCATCTATAGATGCACGCTTCTTTGTTTTTGTTTTTGTTTTTTGTTTTTTGTCTTTTTGAGGCAGGGTCTTGCTATGTAGTTCAGGCTGGCCTTGAGCTCACTTTGTAGCCCAGGCTGGCCTCGAACTTGTGATGATCCTCCTGCCTCAGCCTCCCAAGTTCTTTGTTTTTATATTAAATATATTCTCACTTAATTGCTTTGCTGCTTTACTTGCAACTACGTTTTTAAAAGTATATTCCATTATTTTGCATTTTTGATATGAGTCAGAATTTTGACGGATCTTATGTAGAATAAAAATATTTTTAAATTGAAAAAAAAATCTGTGCCTTCATGTTTACATCTTCAAAAGCTCCTTTTTAAGGTACTGTCTGAATGTTCCTTGTTGTGCATTGCGTTCTCTCTTCATAGATATACTATCTCCTATTACTCTATTATTAATGATCTTTTAAGGAAGGAGTTTCTGGGCTGGGGCTGTAGCTCAGTGGCACAACACCTGCCTGACAAGCTCAAGGTCGTGAGTTTGATTCCCAGTACCAAAGTAATAATAATAATAATAATAACAAAAAGAGATTCTTCTCTCTGTCTCTGACTCTTCTAAGTTTCTTGTGCTTTTCTACAGCCTGTCTTTACTATCACGGTGTTGTCTGCAAGGTCCCAGTGCCCCCAGTGGTCACTCACGTGAGAAGTGAGTTACAGACAGCTGGCTGAGGGTCCTGCGTGCCTGGTGGGGTTTGAGACGTGATCTTCACTACAGATTGCTTTGCTTGTCCATTTCCTTGGGGCGTTGCCATTTTGGTATCTTTAGGGTTTTTTCCCTCAGGATTATCAAATTCCCCAGAAAGACTAAGCTTCTCCCTGGAAACATGCCTGGCTGTCAGTGTTCTGGGAGCCAAAGAGAAGGGGAAGACCTAGAAGTCTCAACATTCCTTACAGGTGGGCTTGCTTTTTCAGCGTGGCATTTCAGCTGTGTTTATCCTATTGATACAGGAAAATTAAAACTCCCAACCTGAATGGTATCTGGGACGAGTTCATGTTCTCTAAAGTTGAAGAATGAATTTTAGGAAAAATGGAGGTTAAGGGCAGAATATATTTATTGAGGGAAAGAAAGCTTCTGTCTAAGAGAAGAACAGAAAGGGGGCCCGGGTGGGCTGCCCAAGACTCTGTCTTTTCTAGGGACTTCTATAGAGCAAAACCACAAGGTGAGGCGGGTCCAAGGTAGGGGAAAAATGGACAAAACTATGGTCAGCCAATAAGAATTGTTCAGGTAAAATTGATTAAATCAGGATCAAATGGGGAAGTGAGTCACGTAGCAAGCCCACACAATACAGAACAGCGGCTTTTCCTATAAGGGGTTGGGTCAGTGACTCTTCAAGGTGATCACTACTTATTTAGAATATCAGTCCCTGATGTTTACACCTAGGGAGGTGTGTGGGTGCATTTGCTTAGTCTTTTGTCTTGAGGTCTGGCCCACAGCAAATACGTATTTTATCTTGTCTTTCACGTTGGCTCTTTCCAGGGCCTGGCCTGTCTGACTGCCTATAATATTTCTATCTAACTCAGCTGCCTATAACACTACTCTCCCTCAACCGGACTTTTTGTTTTGCCTTCGCTAGAGAATCAATGTCTGGCTTTCTGCTGGAGTCGCGAAAGCACAGCTGTGTAGTATGGGGAAGGGGGCTGGAGTTCTGACCGCTTCTTAAATAGACTTTAAGCCTCTTTGCAATCCAATCCCACCTTCCCCATCACTTCCAGAGGAGATAATCCTGCCAACTCCTGAGCATTTGGGGGATCCTGCCACATAAATTCGGTTCTTTCTCAACTTTCCCCGTTGCTGGTTTAGGATTCAGCTCTTCCACCTTTGTTCAATCAATTATCAATTAACCATCATTTCCCAGCTTCAAATTATTATTGTTACCGCCTCTTCTTCCAATATCTTCTACCCATTCATTCCTTTTGAGACTATGTCTTCATTGTCGTTGTACAGGACTGCATGAAGGAATAACTTGAGGCTGTCGACACTCCCCTCTTTAACTGGGAATCCCAGAGTAGTTTTTGGCTTTTAAAGAATTAGCACTTCACAGCGTCTCAGTTTAAAACTGGGGGCCGGACATTGCCTTCGAAAAAAATCAAACTCTCTCCAAAACAAGAGCTGGGAACCCATGTAATTTTTCCTTTAGAAGAAATAAGTGGGAGGTTCCAGTCACCTCCATATTACCCAGACATCCAGATCATTCCAGTCCCGCCCCTCCCAGCCTCCCATTCCACCTTAAATTAGAGACTCCTCAGCCCGTTTCATTTAGTCTTTTAATGTTAGCCTTTTAATACTTTCCAATAAGGACTTTCAACTTGGCAATAGACATATCGTGCTTTCATCAATAAATATACAAAAACCAGAGGGAGGATGTGCTCTGAAAAGTCAAAGTAACAATAGTAAGGGTCATTGTATGTACACGAACAATTGGCTAGTTTTTAAAAAAACTAAACACAAAGGAATTACAAACAGACACACCTACAACATAAAACTGAATGGATCATGTTATTCTTTTTTTTTTTTTTTAAACGGGGGATTGAATACAGGGCCTTTGGCCTGAGCTATATCCCCAGCCCTTTTTTTGAGACATAGTCTTGCTAAGTTGCTAAACTGCTTATGCTGGGCTCAAAGTTGTAAACCTTCTGCCTCTGCCTCCTAGAGTGGTGGGATTACAAGTACGTATCACCATACCCAGCTCAGGTGATGTTATTCGTGTTCCTAAGTACATTTTATTCTTCCAGAGAAATTGGATATTTCTTATACTCTGCGGTAACAGGATTAAATAAATACTGGCTACAAAATTGGTTCTTGGGGTTATGGATCTCAATATAAAACTTTTTTTTTCAATGTAAAACTGTTTGAGAGGTTCTGTTGGAAAAATCCATTTTATCAGGCTAGAACCTGCAAAATATAATCTTGAAAGTGTCTTTGGCATCCTTTGAATTTTTACCCAGAGTTAATTTAAAGAAAGCCCTCAGGAGACACGAAAGATTTATAGTTGCACGAAAAATTGCATCTTCAACTCTCAGGCTGATTTACAAAATAAATGCTGGCCTCTTGCTTTTATAAACAAGGCCCAGTGTAATGACTTAGCCCAGGTTAGCTGACAACTCACTAGCAGGAAAGATACATAGTCAAATTGTCCTTCCAGTGTCAAGGCTATTTTGTCAAATCATCTCGCACCCCAGCCCACTTGTTGGGACTGTCTAGAGTGGGTGAGAAATCATCTCTAGATACGACACTTCTGTGAGTCTCCATGTGCCCGTAAGACAGTCTGAGAGACAGGTAGAGCCCAGCTCCTGGAACACAGGGGGCATTTTAACACCAGTTGCAGTAGCAACTCAGAGTGGTCTGGTCTCCATTTTTTTTTTTTTTCAACTTGAAAGGGAAAGGAAAAAGAAAACCAGGCAGACGGCTATAGAGCTGGTTAATAATATTCACAGAAGAAGAGAAAGGAGTTTTTTGAAGGTCCTGGGAGGGGTGGAAAGAGAGAGAGGACACTAGTTGGTTGGAGAACTAGAGGTTTGCAATGAGCGTGGAAGGCTTGCAACTCTCTTAAAATATATCCTTGAGGTCAACTCTGTGTCAACCCAGCACTGATCCAGGTGTGAAGTTTTTTTTTCTTCTATTTGTCATTTAAGAAATATTCCCAGTTAAGCATATCAGCGTAGGCAACAAGTGACTTTTCTGGATGTGTGAGGACATTAGATCCCCGACTGATAGAACCCCTGACTGCATAGAATCAGTGTCTATGACTACAGGTGGTCTTTGGGAGTTCCAGGACCAATGAGACACCCTGACTGATGAAGAAATGTCACAAAAAACTTGCCAAGTGGAGAAAAAGATGAAGTCATAGGAGAGAGCCATTATTCACTCCTTTAGCCATAAATCTGCTCAAGTTGTGATAAGATTCCCATGGTGGGAAGCCCTGTAACTTGGGATTCCTCCACATGCTTATCTCATCCAGAGGGCCAACTGCATACAGACAGACAACTAGCATGTTAAAGTATAAACAAATACAGCCATAAAAATAGTCAACCAGGATTTACACAGCATTTCACTTTACCAGTCTATGCCAATCAGTGGGCCACTGACTCCTCTTTCATTTCTGTTAGTTTCTCTTCTCATTACAAGATGTCAAAGGCACTCCCATATTATTTTTGGAAATCATTAAGAGAACCAACATCTGCAAAATGGGACTCCCCACATGATGGGTTGTGCAAGTTAAATGCGACTTTTCAAAGTCCTGCGGGGAGAGAAAGGTGGCCATTAAAACAAAAATGGCAGAAGTTCTTCTGCTCACAACTCTGACTGCAGAACAGGAGAGTAAGCCTTTGGAAATGAAATACCGCTGTCTTCCTTGATCTTTGAGGCAGGTTAGCAGGGTGGGGACAAAGGGGCTATGAGATGAGCTCAAGGAGAACCATTCTCAGATCTCCCTGAAGAGCGATAGAGATCTGGACCTTGCAGTTTGGAAAGTGAAGGATCACAGCACGAAGGGTTAAAATGGAAAAAGCACAGGTGTTTATTGTGAATTAGCTTAAACCCTTTTGTTCCTCTGACAAAGTAACCTGGAAAAAAAATTGTACTGATCAAAGGACCTCTCGGGTTTAATATTTCAAAAACACAGATAAATAGCTTACTACAGATAAATAGCTGCACCCTTTGGGTGTCTCCCAGAAGCAACTCAAAAATTTCCAGGGAGTCTTCTAAATGGAGTGTGTAACCAGTACACCCCAAACCCCTACTCCACTGGAAATCAATGACCTGGGATTAGGCTGCTGGAGAGGCAATACGGACCCATTCAAATTTCCTCTCAGAAACCAACCCCTCTTGGCCCCGGAGAATAGGCTGTTACCTGGCAGGTGGGGCTCGGGGGCTTGAGTAGTATGAGGAACACATATCTGTGGCATTTACAAGCCATTCATAACATACATACCCCAGGGGATAAAAGACCTCTAAGTGGAAACTGGAACAAATTCTTGCAGATTATTAGTTGGGCTCTCCTTTCAGAAAGCAATGCTGTTTTTATCAGCTGGACTTGACTTTTTTTAAAAAAAAAAAACACAAAAACAAAAAGGAATAGAAAATTTTATGCTAAAAAAATGATCCCCAATAAAACAATCAGTAGCACATTGCATCTGTTAAGTGTCCCAACTCCCTGTAATGGCTGTATTTCAACTGTGGTTTCTTTCCCAAGATAATGGTGTAGATATTACACCCCAATTTTCATGTCCACATTTTGCAGGTTCCGTGTCTCATCAGCTGTCATAAACTGGTCAGGGGTCTCTGATGGTTCCTTATTCACCAAATGTACCATTTCCTGAGACTTGCTGGCCTCTCCGTTGATTCCACTCGGCTTTCTATCCTCCACTTTTCCATTGCCGTTGTTGATCACCAGCTTTTTCTTCTGCCCACATCTAATAATTTTAAAAGAATTAGGTTAGGAAGGGTGGAACGACTCCACCATCGCTGTCACGGTCGTTACTGTTGATCATTGATTGCATGGTTACAACTACAATTTCTCATGATCTTCACATACGCCAAACACTCAATTTGTTTACTACCCTTGCTACTTTATCTTACTGAATCTTAGCAATCAACACTTATTAAAGTGAGGTCCCTTGACCAGTAACAAAAGTATAACCTGTGACCTTGTGAGACATGCAAATTCTCAGTCCTGCTCCTGGATCTATTGAGTCAGAAAACTAGCTGGGGGTCCCAGGATCTGAGGTTTAACAAGTCCTCAGGGGGCTACTGATGCACAGATATGAGAATCAATGTCCACAACTCTGGGAATCCAGTGCTACTATAATCCCCTACTATAGTCAAAAAGACCATGGCGGGCTGAGATTTCCGGATCTTCCTCACTTTACTCAACAAGCAGTCAGAGTCAGTGTTCAACCTTCTCTCATTCCAGAGTTCTAATTCCTCTTTCATCCTACTGCACAGTGGAAATGTTTGCCTTTTGTAAGCACTTCAGCAGTTCCTGAAAACTTAGATAACCTATCATGATCACTATAAATCATTCTGATCTGTGTAGAAAAGAAAGTCCTACTATTTCCTTTTCCCATCAACAATCTCTTGGCGTTGTCGGTGTTATTACTGCATGTACAAAAAAGAATCAAATGATACTGTTCCAGAAGCATAAGGTCATTGATTGTTCCCTAACATTGGTTAATTTTCTTACAACCTTAGATGTAGAAGATTGAACAACCTAAGACACATTATTCACAATTACTTTAAGGTTTCTCAGGGACTACTTGAGATTCAAAACCAGAAGGTCTTCTACATAAAAGCATGGCTTTGTTCTTATCCTTGAGAACTGTCATGCCATTGCCTCATAACTCTCAATCTTATGCTATGCTTCCTCTTCCCTGTAACGTAATCACGGCCACACATGTAGTAGTTAGATGATAGTTAAAGAAAGTTTCACAGCTTCACAACTACAGGCCACGTGAGGAAGAGGGGACATGGACTACCATCCAGTAAATACTGCCTGCATTCCAGACATGCTAAAAGTAATTTTCTGCAATCTTTACAATAATCCTGCAGAGCAGCTTTTCTCCCTATTGTACACCAGTAGAAGCCAAGGCCCAGAGAAGTTTAATAACTGGTTTGAGGTTCTATAAGGGGTAAGACTGACAATATTCAAACCTAGACCTTTATAACAAAAATACAGGCTCTGCCTGGTTCTGTCAAAGCTGCCAACCATCTGGAGATTCGGAAACAGGATGAAGTCAGAATTGTTCACTTTGCCACTGGATATTTGGAGTTGTAGAGACAAAGCGTCTATTATTTATGATCATGGGCCATTCCATGTAGATCTGCCAAAGCCATAAACTTTAATCTCTTGTTTGGGGAAACAAATTGTACTTCCCCAACAGGAGGTAGGTCCTATATCCTCTGGCAGGAGGCTTTGTGAAGGGTGGAGGGAAAAATGCTTGATTTATAGGGGCTGGAGGTCACACAGACAGTAGAACACATGGTCAAGAGCACAGCCTTGAAGGTTTGGATTTAAGACATTAGGGTGACTCCCTTAACTTCTCTGAGCCTCTGTTTTTATACCTGTAAATTCAGACTGTTAAGAGTATCAATCTCAAAGAATAGTATAAGGCCTTGACACAGAACCTGGAACTCAATAAATAAATCTATTATTACTATTGCTTGCTCTTATGAAGAGTGTGGGTTGAGGAGTCTAAGGCCTTGAATACACAGTTAGAACAGTATCTGGAATACAGCCACTGTATTACTTCAAAACGTGCGGGCTATCATTGTTAATGTAACTATAGCTGTAAAACAGACTTCACTGGCTTCTTGTGGATGTCTCCACCTACCTTGTTTTAGGGACTCTGAGGATGGCTTAAAGGCTGACTCTAGAATACTGCTGCTTGTGTTACTCTGAATTCTCAGGTGCTACCCTATGTTCTTTGGAGAAACGTTGCCTAATTAAAGTAATTCCTATCTGACTGCCCTATGGATGGCTGAGAGATGGGAACAAAATATTGTGGGTAAAATGATCTGTAAGCATAAAAAATTCTGTGCATGCAAGTGGAGTGAGGATCAATATTAATCTAAATGAACCCAACTTTGAAAGTGGTAACATTTGATCTGTAGAATGTGGGAATGTTATATTTGACCTTTGGCTTGCACCATTTCTCTTTAGATGCATATATCTCTGTTATCTGTCTGAGTTCTTTCAGGAAGGCAAAATGATTCTCATAAACAACTCAGACCAGTATTGAATTCTCTAGACATTTAATACATAACCTTTAAAAGGCAAGTTCTAAATTTTTTATTTTTCTTAGTTATAGGAAATTCAAAGGAATATGAGAGCTGAGGGGCCTCCAAATTTCATCCAGTCCAGCTTCTTCATTATGTAAACTGGACACTGAATCCAAGAGGTCAAGGATATTAGCCAAAGCCACACATATACTTTGCTGCCAGAATCATAGCTTAGATTTCCTATTTCCAAAGATCAGAGAACCTCACTGAATTAATTTTTTAATTTTTAAATTTGTTTTGGTTTTTCTCTGGTACCAGGAAACAAACTCCTGACCTTGCACTTGCCAGGCAGGCGCTGTGCCACTGAGCTAAATCCCCAGCCCCAACCTCACTGAACTGCATCTGGAAACTTTTGCCTCCTCTTCCCTTACATCACAGAGATTTGCTGGGCACCCAGAAACTACACAGTCCAGAAGGACCCAGGCTGAGTTCTCCCCAAGCGGGTTGGACAGGCTGGATAGGGTTTGGAAAGCAAATAATATCATTTTAGGCATGGTGGGACTTAAGCAAGTAACTTAACAACTGCTTTCATGTCCTTTCTACATGGAAGGGACATGAAAATCCTGAAAGATACTTAGAAACTTATTTTGCACTGCCTTAGATTTGTGCGTCCCATACAGTAGCCACCAGCCACATGTGGCTATTTGAATTTAAGCTTAATTCAAACTGAAATAAGCAAAAATACAAATTCACTTGTTCGGTGGAACTAACCCTATTTCAAGTGCTCAAGAGTCTCAGATGGCCAGCGGTCATGAGCTGAGCAGTACAGATACGGAACATTCCCCTCACTGTGGGAAGCTCAGTTGGATGGCACTGTTGTAGAGGACAGGACAGGGTTGAGGCAGGCCAGACTGTCTCATCAGAGTAAGAAAACATTTCTAAATGATGGAGCTGCAAAGACAGAACCTTCCAAGCAGAAAGTGGTTGACTACCCTCTGGGTTTACAGGAAATACAATTATTCCCATGAAAGCCAAGGCTGGGAAGGCATTTTCTGTACAGTCAGCATGGAGATATCCTTAAATCACCCCTGTTTTCTGAAGGCTTCTCTGGCAAAGTCCTCAGGCCTTTTCTGTCCTTCAGACATGTCTTTCAGAGAAAGGCGCCTAAAAGCTGTTTTCTCGGGCCTTATTCAGTATCTACCAACCCAACTGGCTCCTAAAATGACGTATTCTTAAGGGGAGCCAATAAAGTGCAAGCTCCCTGTGAAAGCCCTAATTTAAGGAGTGTGATTTCACGAAGAGCATCAGGTAAAGCTGGAGAAGCTGGGGAACCCACTCTGAATCAGCATCTTTTAGATGAGGTGACTCACGAAGCACTTCACTGGAGAAGCCCATGGCCGGTCCTGCATATCACACCAAAGCTAACACTTTCCTACTTTCATTCTTTCAACCATGATTCCTGGGGTGATGACTGGCTCTGAGACTGCGCTCCACAGTCACTGACTCCAATTCAGTGGTGGCCCTACTGCCGCTGAATCTCACGATTCTTTTAGAGAAGGGACGGTACTTTCCATCATTTATCCTGTCTTCTTCCTCTCACTCACCAGTGCTAAGAGACACAGGAGCCACTCCAAAGGCATCTGCTGCATAAATGAATCCCCTTTAGAGGCCCTATTTCCAGCTAAACTCTCTTTGATGAAAGTAGGATTCTGTATATCTCTGAAACATCACGCTCAGAGCAGAAAGGCCCCAGCTTTCTAAGAGGATTAGAATTGGGCTGCTGGCTGTAGGCACGCAGCATACATTAAGGGGCCTGTGTAGCCCTTCACCGCCCTTCAGCTGCGTGGCAAATCTGTTTTCAATTATCAAATCAGGACACAGTAATTTATGGCATCCAAACAGCTACTTTCCCGGTGAGATACTTGCTGTGCTGAATCCTGCGTGTCCCTGTTTGCCTGTTGCTAGGGTGACTGCTGGTCCTGGGAGGAGGGGGTGGGGAGCCATGAGGTTCCTTCTCTGCTCTAACAAGACAGGGAGAGACTTGGGAGGGAACCAGCTGCAATGTACAGATTCCAGCTGTTCTGGGGACAGTTGAGATGCTTCTCAGAGGGCTCCCCACGTCGACGGCATCCACGCCAACATTGCCGTGGTGACATGTGCAAAGCTTATGGACTGTATGCGTGAGCCAAAGTGCTACATTCTAGGGCCTAGAACAAAAGGGCTGATTTCAAACAACAGGAAATTCATATTTAATTAAGCAAAAGTAATCCAAGGGAAAACAAGGAAGCTGAGGGTAAGTATAAAGACTCTTTGTAAAGGGCTTCCTCAAGTCCCATTTAAATTCAACTTAAAAAAAAAAAAAATCTCTTTCCATTTAGTCCTGGGAGCTCATTAGAAATCTTTTAGATTTTTTCCCTGGTTTTTGTTCCTTATGGGAATCAGCCATCCTGACTAAATTTTTTATTATGCCCTCAAATATATAGATAGCAACACAGCAATTTGACTTTAATGTAGCACTTTTATTAACTTATAAAAGCATAAAATGACATCATTTGATGTCTTCAGATAATTAGAAAAATTGCAAAGATTGTGTATGGCAGTGGAATTAGATGTCTAGTGCTTTTTAAAAGCTAACAAGAAAGAGTTTATAAATCTCTCCATGTCTTCTCGCAAACTCAGGGGCATTTTCTGGCTTGTGAGATGATTCGGAAGCACAATAAAAGTGGCGCTGCTTGGAAATAAAACTCTCTTGCCTTAAAAGAAGCAATCTCAAGGGATGTTTGCAATAAGTTAATGTTCCCATGCATAAGCTCAGAAAAAATGATGCACTTTAATTTAAAGGTAGGAAGTTTATTTATTTAAAATATTTATTTATTTATTTAAAGGTGGGAAATCAGACTCATAGTTTTGGAGTACCACTGTCCAAAGTTCATTTCCTCTGCTGGAAGAATGATTACTATTTTTCTTCACTTTAGGTAGCATTATTAGGTAGCATTATTTTTGGAGCCTGGTCATGGCTCAGCCAGGTATATGCATCCTATAACTAACTTGGTCAATGTGAACCTTTAGTTGACCTAGGGAGAGTCCACTTGCTGGTTCTAGGATCTTGCTTGTTTTGATTCACTTTCTGTTATGCCTTCTTTCTAGACATCCCCCAAAGCCCTTTGTGGTCATAGGTGGAGCTTTCTGGAGGTGGCTGGATATAGACAGTGTGATGCTGGGTTTAAGGATGTGATGCTGGGTCAGGCATGGTGGTGCACACCTGCAATCCCAGCACTCTGGAGATTGTGGCAGGAGGACTGCAGTGAGTTTGAGGCCAGCCTGGGCTACAAAGTGAGTTCAAGGCCAGCCTGAACTACATAATGAAACCCTGTTTCAAAAAGAAAAAAGAAGGATGTGATGTTGGGATTGATTCATGGTGCAATGCTAGGATTAAGGGCGTGACAACATGACCGAAAAGGCTGCTGTTGTCACTTTGTTTCTCTTTTGCTGCTGCTACTTCTGCCTGCCATGGACCCTTTCTCCTCTGTGATGCCCCTGTGCCATGCCTCCCTGCCTTGAAGCCAGCCAACTTTGAACTAAAACCTCTACAAACCATGAACTGCAATAAACTCTCCCTCCTTTCACTCTGGAAGTTCAGTATTTTGTCTCAGCAATGAGAAAAGTAACTAAGACACTTCTAGAAAAAAGATCTTCATGGTTCCTTAGAGCTCGCTGTTCAAAAGCTCCTCCTAGGCTGTAACCTAAATCCTTCCAACTTCAGCTTCCAGAAAATAGAAAATAACATCCTTATAAAAACAAGCAACAAACAAAATGAAAAACTGATGTCTGCTTCAGGTAAGGGTTGTGGACAGTTCCATGGATCTCAAATGGGCCGATGGCAATGACTAATGATCCCTGAATCATTATATATTTTGTGTATCATCAATGTACTTAATAAATACTTGCTTAATGAATCAGACTTTTTGGTGAGATATTTTGGAACTTTTATCAGACAGAGTCTGCAGTTTAACCCCCCAAAAACTTAGGAACCACAAGATTCAACCAATATGTACTAGTAGGAGTCCAAATAATTACAGATGTTTCCTTTTGCTAAAGAATAGGACCACACAGAAGAATCCTTGGGATCTTGTTAAACCAAACCCCAGGCTTGGGCTGAGATTCTCCATTCCTCACAAGCCCCCAAGGTGCTGAAGCTGCTCGTTGCAGGAACCAAACTCTGAGCATCAAGGATATAAAGCCTCGGTTTACAAGATGCCCTTCAAATTTGCAGGCCCTAACAGGCAGCCTCTTACCTTCTCCGACTGTTGACAGCGATGCAAACAGCTAAAATCAAAGCCAGGGCCAAGAGAGATGCCAAGATGATGAGCCATTCTGGGGTGAGTGAACCAAAAGACACGCGTGAGCATCAGAAATACACTTCGTAAAACCAAAGATACAACTGGAAAATTGATCTGGGCCAAACAAGAGCTAGAGTCAGCACTGCAGAGAGGCCGGACCAAAGGGGCCAGCCAGCAGGCATCCGATTCTAAAAGAGCGACTTTGCTGTAAGAGTTTTGTCCAACAGGTCTCTTGTACTAATCTTTTATTATCAGTCAGGATTTTCAAGCCTTGCCTGGAGAAATAGGTTTCCAAAAACATGTAGAATGAAACTTGTTGAAACTTGTAGATGCCTTTGGTGCAACATTATTAAATAGATTAAGGGAAATTTATGCTTCCCTTGAAAGAAACATTCCTTTCCTATATAAGAACATTTGCCTTATATTTTATTCAGAAACAAAAGCAGACATCACATTCTAATGGGTGCGACAAAGGAGGGTGAAGGGTTAATTTGTAAACACTCATTGAAGGTCATCTGCCTTTCAAAAATATTCATGTTTCTGGTCCAGCAGTTATACTTCAGGTAACTTATAGGACCTCAAATTTAGCGGAAAGATAGCCCTTACTGTATTACATATAATAATAGAAGCTGGAAACAGCTTAATAATCAAACAGTAAGAGAGTCACTAAGTAAGTTATGGTATATCCATTGTATTATGTATTATGTATTATGTATTATGTATTATTAAAGGGAAAATAATTAATAACATGGAAAGCTGTGTTCAATCAAGAAGGAATGTTGACCAAGTAGCACGTATGGTATAATGCCATTTTTGTACATGAATTACATTGCAAACTGGCAGGAAGAACATATATTAAGATGGTAACATAACCATGGTGCTTCTGGGTGGTGAGATACTAAGCAATTTATACTTTCATCCATTTGTTTGGTCGTATTTTCTAAAATGTCCTTGATAATTATGTATTATTTGTAGGCTAATAAATACTTTACACATTTTAAAATCAGCCTTAATAGGTGTGAAATACGACTCAGCAAGTTGAATCCACTCAGTTATGTATGTGTGCAATGAGTCAAGACTTGAGAAAGAAGAAAGGTGAAAAGTCATTTATTGTCCACTTCTCTTTGCAGGTCTTGGTTTCCTCTCACTTCTACTTTTGGCCCACCTTCAGGAGGAGATGGGAAAGAGCATACCTTTTCTGTTCTTCTTCCCCCCAATCCTGGCCTGGTCTGCAGCCCTGCAATATCATCCATTCACCTGACTAGGGCCAGGAAGAAACTTAGGCCTGACTGTCGCTGTGTTCCCCTCGTCCTTCCCTCTCTTCTCTCTCCGCATGCTCTGCCTTCAGGGGTGCTTGGGCAAGCCAAGCAAAGGAGCATGATATACCCCATATTCCCCCTTCTCCCCAAGTCGGCTCTGTTTGGAGACTTCTGAGGAGAGGAGAACTAAAAGATAATTTACCACAGGAGGAGATACCTTCCTTTTTTGCAATCTCCCTTTACAAATGTTTAATTTTGACTCCAAGCCAAATAAAGAATTTGTACCAGATGCCTTAAAGATTGATGTCCACGTGAGCCAGGTGTTCCAAATCCCTCACTGTACAGTTTGTAATACTCTTTTCTGAAAATTTCCTTCTGGCCTGACCACTGGACTGCCCCACTAGAAAAAATAGTTTGCGAACCAGAGCAATGATTCCACTCCACCCAACCCAGGTTGCTCTTGTAGTTCCTCTCTGTCTGCAACATGAAAAGAAAATTACATGCTTCACTTTGGCCCCAGTATGAAAGGGGAAACTGGGCTGGGAAAGGAAGGACCTGAGTATGACATGGGGCCCTCAGGGTGATCACTCATTTGGGAAGGAAGCTTTGGTAACTAACAGGATCCTTCCCTGTGACAGGCCAGGGACAGGTTTGTGTGTGACTTCAGTTCATCTATGGAACCCAGAAGACCCACAGAAAAAGAGTGTTCAACCGTTTCTTGCCAAGAGATTACAGTACTCTCCTGCACCTTTCATCTTGCAAAGAGAAACCATCAGGTTCAAGTATTGGGCAGCTAAGAGGGTGTACACTTGATCGGGTCTCTTCTTCCTTCCTGGGACATTCTGAGAAATGTGCTTTAATCCTGTTGCTTTTTTCCTTCCCAGTTTGCAACTCACCTGGAATCTGGGGTCTCCTTATAGGAGCAGAGGTTGTGTTTGCCCCACTTTGAGTCCCACTTGAGTGTCCTAAGGAGATAAACAAAAAGATATCTCAGTCCACGTTTGGAATGCACAACCAGGAGTTCCTTCCAGAGCAGAGTACTGGGCCAAACTCCAAAATCTACATCACCAAGAAGCTATTTATAGATTCAAACCACAGACACCTATAAAGTGTTGTGCAAAAGCTTATCACCCCTGAAAGTTCAGCGCAATTAAAGGCTGGATGTGTCATACATATGCAGGAACATGAGAACCTCAGGAGCAGTGGTTTGTGCAGTGCTTAAGACTGGGCTCTACAGCTGGAAAGCCATCGGTTCAAGCCCTACCCCTGTCTTGCCAGTAACATGTGCGAGATCAGGTTACCTTTGCCAAGTCTAGGTTTTCTCTCTTAGAATATGGGGACAGTAAGAGACTCAACTTCATCAACACTTTACAGAGGTTTAAAGAAGGAAGTGCACAAACATGGTAAGTGCTTTTTTTTATTTTGTTTTATTTTCTTTTGTTTTGGTACCCTGAATCAAACTCAGGACCTTGCACTTGCCAAGCAGGTGCTTGTGCCACTGAGCTATATCTCCAGCCCCAAACACGGTAACTGTATGTAGTTATATTCTTAGTTTAATGTAGGGCCTTGCTACCAAAGTGTGGCCCTCGAAAGTAGTCGCAGAACCATCACTTGGGAGATTGCTGGGAATGCAGACACTTAGGCCTCACTCCAGACATACTGAACCAGGATCTTCATCTGCATGAGATCCCTAGGGGATCCAGATGTGCTGGAAAGCTCGAAGTGAGCCTAAACATCACAACCACTATCACCACAGAAGCCAACATAAACATTGAGAAGTAAGGATTTGAGGTCAATGGTCTTTTCTATCTCTGATAAAGCATCCTATTAGAGTGCTTGTTAATTTATTAGTGACTGAACCGGCCGTGGTGGTGCACGCCTGTGATCCCAGCACTCAGGAGGCTGAGGCAGGAGGATCGTTGCAAGTTCAAGACCAGCTTGGGCTACAAAATGAGTTCAAGGCCAGCCTGAACTGCATAGTGAGACCCTGTCTCAAAAAGACAAAAATAAAATAAAATGAAAAAAATAATTTATTAGTGACTGACTTTCATTAGAAAACAACACTTTTCTACTGCTAAATAACAAAATAAGGAAATGAACAAAAAACAAATAACAAAATAAGGAAATGAACAAAAAAACCCCAAGTTTGAAGGAAGCATTGCAAAGCAGATAATCTACACATCAACATCACAGGTGGCTTCATGGATCTTTGTTTCGGTTTGTTTTTATGTTTCCTCTCCTGGTTGAGAGTCAAACTTGAAAATGTTCCACTAAAATGAGCTGTTTCCCCATAGCATATGGGGACCTGATATAGAATCCTCAAGACCAACAGGCAAAAAAACTAGAGAAGTCTGGCTAATTGGTGGGTGAAGATGGCAAGCTTTTCTTAGAGAGTCAAACTTAGGACACTGCAGAGTAGACACTAAAATCTTGACTGCAATGGTTATTTTGGGGTGGGAGGGCTCAGCAATTTGAATTTTTTGTTGAAACTCAAAATGGAGCAAAGCAAATTTTTATGAGATGACTGGCTGTTTCAACACACATCATCTCATTTTGACAGTGATCTTTCATTTCACAACCTCAAAGAACTCCAAGGCATTTTTCCCACCTGTTCCCAGTTTGCTTGGCCATTGGAAAGTGTTTGCCTGAGATACTGGCCATCTAAACTGGAGAGATCTTTGGTCTTGGAAACCACCTAAGGGGTACCATCATCTTTGCTGGTCTTTTTTTCTGACTCATAGCAGCCTTTGATATTCTAAAGAGAGCCCATTAATAGATCATATCTCTTTATTTTGATTTTCAAAAAAAAAAATGCTTCCAGCAAGGAAAGATCTGGGTGTGTGCACAACACAACAAAACCTCCTGTTTGAACAATACACACCTGCACAGGAGCCAAACAAAAGAGATAAAGCCCTGCCTACCTGATTCTCACTTCAAGCAAAAACCAAAAAGCATAGGTGAGAGACAGCAGGCCTCTCTTGTGCCCCAGAGATCCATAAATCTAGCCAGGGTAGAACCAGCCAAGAGGGCAAGTTCTGCAAAGCAGGGGACTGAGCACTCCAGTTAGGAGATGAGATGCAACCTGATTAGCATGAACAGTTATCGTTCAACTAGCTTCAACTATGAGAAAGACAGTGAAAGACAGAGTTTCTCAAATTTTAACATGAACACAAACCATCTGCGGGGAGGAACTTGGTTAAAATGCATATCCCGATTCAGTGTGTCAACACTGGCTAGAGATTCTGCATTTCCAACAAGCTCCTAAGTGATGTCTCATTTGCTAGTCCAAGGACCATGCTTAGAGTAGCTGGGGTCTGTTGGCTTTAGAGAGCATGGTGTTTAATAGTAACTTCCTGCTGTTTCCCACTTACTTTCACATTCCTGATGCCTTGAGCTCCTCATAAACACTCTAGGAGGTAACTGAAGTAGATGATCTCATCTTCCCTTTCTTTATAAGGAAAGTGAGGCTGGAATATTAAGCATCCTACTCAAGGACCCCAGTGAGCCTCAGAGTTCTGCCTGAACTCCAGAAGCATTGCTAATAAACCCTACATTCCAGGGTGGTAACATAAGTGTTATTAACACAGCCATCATGTAAATATCCTTCTTCAGATTTGCTTTCAACCTGAAGGCAACCCCTGCCCCAGCTTGGGCATGCAGGGAAGGATGATAACTTCGATGGATATGAGTCATCTGGTTTTGTGATGCCTGGAAGACCACACTATGTGGGAATAGCAGAACCTCTCGGTTGTCCCAGTGGTAGAGGTCAGAGGAAACCTACCTCACGTCAGACTTTGCTGTCTGAAGTAACAATTTTAGGGGGTGTGATCTGAGTCACAGAAAACAGGAATTATTTAATAGTGTATGCCAGGCATCAAACACAAGCTATTCTTATGTCAAAACCCATGCTCTTAGTCATTCTGGCACAAGGAAATGTTAAACTGGGACCTTGCATGGATTCTTCCTGATCCATTTAGATGAAAGACTTTTCTCCAGAGCAGTAGACACCGAAGTCCCAGAAGTGGCAGCATTACCAGGGAGTTTATTAGAAATACAAATGCTTGGGCTCTACCCTACACTAGTAATTCAACAACTTTTCAGGGTGGGAACTAGAAATGTGATTTAATAAGTGCTCTCTGTGATTGTAATGCTTGCTAAGAGACTGTGAACATCTCCTCTAGAGACACTGACTCATACTTTATTAGAAATCATCAAGTTCAGTGATTATAACAGTAAATGACTAAAGCAATTTCAAACTCACCATCAGATTTAGAATCACTAGTGGTATGGGAGTGCCTGTCCGGGTCTATGGATGAGTCTTGATCTCCTGTAATGCCCAATGAAAGAAAGTTAGTCCTTGGTCTCCACAAACACTGCAATCCGCATTTCTTTATGTTGTGCTTTCCCAAGTCCATTATGAAGTTTAGTCTTCTAAAGGTAACCAAGAAGTGATGTCAAGAGTCTTGACTGGGTTTATAACATTAATCACCACTCCCTATTTGGGCCACTGATGAATGGGCTACAGACTTAATCAAAATTAAGGAAACTGAGGCAGTACAGGCCATTTAAAATCACACCATAGAGTGTGATTTTGGTAGAAATTAAAGAACAGTGGCAAGAAACACTCTAACTAAAATTTTATGATGCCTTCACAGGCTGGAGGTTGGAATTAGGCAATGTGGATGTTAAATAAGGACAGTAAGAATTAGATTGAGCTGTGTGATCACTGGAAATGTGTGCACTCTGACCCACGAAATGAGATTTTTAAAGAGATTTCTCTGAGGCAGGAAATTGGACTGTATTTAAGCAATACTGGGTTTAAATGATGCAAAGATTAAAAAAGAATATGCAGCAACTCATTTAAAGTAAGTGAACAAAGAGATGATAAGAGGATAACATGTAGACAATGTGTTCCTGGGGATTAGAATAAGTTCCAAATAATATTTTTCAGAAGTTAAACCACATGGTGAACACCAACAGTTAATATAATCTCAAATATCCATTACCAGAAGGCTTTGGATGGAGACAAACCCAAGAGTTGCTAAAATTTAAATCCACAATTAAAATCTTAAGTTTGACATATGGAAATCCCCTGGCTTTTTCCCAACAACCCCCTCCACAACAGTTTTTAAAGTATACTGTTTCTTTTCTTTGGGCCGGGAATATAGCTGAGTGGCACAAGCACCTGCCTGGCAAGGGCGAGGTCCTGAGTTTGATTCCCGGTACAGAAAAAAAGTATACCGGAATCATTAAACACACACACACACACACACACACACACACACACACACACACAGTTCAATAGTTGCACACAAACAGTTCAATAGTTTCACAAATTGGATATAGTTATTGATTATGAAGGTGGCTATAAAGAATATATAGTAACCTGATCATTACCATTTCCTTGATTAGGAAAGATGGAAATGGGTCATTTATAATCACGCTCCTGATTATATTAAAAGACAGAGTTTGCTTTGTTCCTGGGTTAGAATAATAGAAAGGTTATTCTGTTAGAATAACCTGAAGTTTAGAATAACAGAAAACAGCATGAACTGAAATGCCATTGATATTACCATTATCAAAATCACCATCCCTGTCACCAAAACCATCACCAACATTGCACCATGATCAAAAATGCTGTAGTTCTTAATATTAAGTATAAAGATTGGAAAAAAAGTATGGACAGAAATACACATATATGAGTGTTTTGGAAGAAAATCAAAGAACAGAAAGAAATGTCTTACTAACTGTTGAATCCATGGACAACCACAAAAAATCCATCTATAGCATGATCTTTCATATGCAGAGATAGAAGAAGCACCAATTTGGTAGAAAGAATTTTATTTGTTAACAATTATGCTGTCTAAGCCTTCTAGGATTATTAAAATTGCCATTTAAAATTTAAATCCACTAGGTTGTACAATAAAGCCTTGTTTTGCCAAGAGAAACTAGGTTGAAGTCTAAAATTCACTCCTCCTGAAGAAAACAGACAATGATACTTAAGAGTTTTTAATAAGGGAGAGCGGGATTATGCTATACACAGCACTAAGAAATATAAGGGGGCTTTGTCTTGCCAGTATTGCTGGGGTCAGCATTTTTTAAAACATTTTCCTTGAAGCTCTGAGGTGGGCAATCCAAAGGAACAATGCCAAGCATGTAACGTCCTGAATTTTCTTGCCCTACCTTAGTCAGAACATTCCAGTGGCTCTCTGGTTTACATACTGGATTCTCTTATGATATCTTTTTTCTTTTGAGGGGGAATCTCGACTATAAACACAATATGTGTTAATGATAATAAGAAGTTATACTTATATAACTGGTACTAAGAGGAGAGAATCAGTTTTTAGTTTCCTAGGCAGTTCCCCTTTTTTCATTATCAATTTCTTAATGCAAATGAAGAGAGAAAAATAAAACAATAGAGAAGACTGCTTATTTGAGTTGTCTTATTCTAGGTCCCTGTTAAATGTCATGGAATAATCATTTCATTACCATTGCAATAAAAAGTGGTTCCAATTGTTAATAGTAGATTAAAAATAAAGCTGTAAGTGCATCATAACTAGAAGAGGTTTATCCACCAGCCCATCACCAAAAGTAAATTGATAAATCCATCACCAAAAGAAAAAAGTCCAGAGCAAAGATTTTTATGTTGAGTGAAATCCTACTAAACAAGCAGCATGTATTAATCAAATCAAATGAAATTGCTAAAATTCAATTATTTTGATCCACAAGAATATTATTTTCCTATAGTTCTCCTTGACACATCACAGGATAAGGAATAAAACAAAAAAAGAGATTCTACCAAAACAACCAAGTCACAAAGATAAATGGAAAATATATTAACAAATGGAAGCATTATTTTACCTTGAAGAATTCCAAATTTCTTGTCACTAGAACTGATGTGACAAAAACCATTCCCATGTCACAGAGACCTAATCACAGTCTATATAGAAAATATCTCTGTGATAGAAGAGGATATGTTGTTTCTCCCTCTAGAGAAATTAAACCAGATAACAAATGGCCAAATTACCTGGTAAGGGGTGATCAACATCAGAGTTACGCTCTCCAACAACAGTAACTTCAATTTCTCCAAAGGCCCCTGTATTAGCAGGGGTCACTGGGATGATGGTCCCATTTTCTTTTGTGTCTGAGTAAGGAGGGGTATAACTTTCCAGTGAAGTAGTTGAGTTCTCAGGCAGATTTCCACCTCTTCTGCCCCCTCTGGCAGGATGTCTATCTGTGTGGAGGTGGAATCAGTGATAAACCCACATCTGTAATGTCATTACCCCACATGAACCTGTCTTCAGGATATGAAATGGCTGCAAAAAGCTTTCCAGTAGTTATCCAAGAGCAAAAGCAAAAGACAGTGAAGTTTGTCAAGCTATGGAACACAATCAATATTTTCTAGCAGGCACCATCTGGACATGGCTCAATAGAAGAGATTTTAGTGACCCTACTACTCAGAAGAAGCATTTTTGCAACATCTGACTGAGCTGCTAAGGTAAGACTTATGCCACCAGAACTAAAACTGAATTCACTGAAGGTACTAGATAACCATGAGCTCTTTCTCAGTTGGATTCACCTTTGATGAAGTGAAGGAAACATACCATTGACTTGAAAGGTAAAATTTTGCTCCCTGCAGGTGGAATAGCAAATGAATGATTTTTAAAGACTTGTGGCTGCTAACTTAATTATTCTTTCCTATGCCGGATGGGTACTCCTTCTTAGTTACCAGCATTGTGGTCTTATGGTCCAGAGGAAAAATGGCAAAGTAATATTATTAATGGAAATAATATAGAGATATATCATCAGAACTTCACACCAGTTATAAGTCTTATAGAAGCAATGCATTATTTTTAACCAAATCACTAACTACAGTGTTTAAGAAATCTGACTTCTAAGACTAAGCAATACAATTTATGGTTAACGTACAATGCCATCTAAGAGGTCTACAAAGCAGAAACATCAGAGACCACCACCAGATGCACCTTTTGATACAAAGAAACAGTATCAACAACAGCCAATACAGGCACCTCCACCAAAGACACCACAAGAACACCTATAATATATTGATTTTATCAATAGCTGAAGCCAACTGGGTTCTGCAATCCTTACTGCCAGTTGTCAGAGTAGAAGTTGTTGGATGGTCTTTATCTTCTTCCAGTTCTCCGTGTGATGTAGAGAAGCTCTGAGAATCACTCTGCTCTGTTTCAATGAGGGATGAATCCAGTGTTAGTTTGGAACCATGATACCGGTCATCTGCTATCTGCTAATAGAGAGGTTTTGCCTATACTATGTCAGAGGGATAGGCACATAGCGAGGAGGAGGTGCGTGAACAACATTATCCTGTGATTTAAAGAAACACAGAATTCTATTTTGATGCTCACTGGCCCTTTGTCTGAGAAAACAATAAAGGTAAGGCTCCCCCACCACCGTCATCTCCCATGGTAGCATTGCTTGGAGGCACTTGGGAAAACCAGAGAATGCAGAGACATGGAAAAGAAATGTTTGAATTTCAGTGATCCTATCAACAATCAGGAACATCCAATTACGGGTCAAGTGTGACTACACAGTAAACCTCCAAAAAAGAAAGAAGTCCACCCGGGATAATCTGCTCAAGGAGCTAAAATCAAATTTTCACAAGGAAATTTATAACTCCCTTCTCAAGATCATTAAATTAAAGCAACAGTTTTACTCTGTTATTAGGCTTTTGATCTCAGCTGTGCATAGGACTTCTCATCGCACCAAGGAAATGCTTGCCTGCACAAAGACAGGGGCCTCAGTGACTTGGATCCATTTGAGGTTGAACTATTGCCCCGATGTGAAATCACTTCAACTGTTTTGAGTTCATCTCCTTGTAAGAACGTTACTGATCTCCAAGTTCCAGGTTCAAGCGCTCCATAAAACACAGCTATAAACCACGTCCACCATCAAATGAATATCATATTCACCAGATCCCAAACTCAACATCTGAACAAAAGCCAAAAGTAATATAAAATGGAAATACAAGTCCTTTGTTAGCAGGGGCCACTCCTACGCTTGCTTACAGCTCTTCTGATGCTTAACATTGTGCTGTTATGCTGCTAACAATCAACACATGCTTGCTGATTTGTTTTTCCTTTGCCTAAAGTACTCGTATGAAGGGCTCTACCCACTATTTGTAGCAAGCAGTGAAATAAGGCTCTCTTAATTCTGGATTTCTTTCATGTTCTGCCAAGAAATTATGAATGACTTTAGGCTGATCTCTAAATTATCACTGAACTTATGGTGAAAATTAAGGATACTAGAAATTTAACATCTCTTCCATGTTTAGTGATAGAGATATTAGCAAATGCTTATTTTTTTATTCCAAGAAACATACCACCTTTGTCAATTTTAAACAATATACTTTGTCCCTCCTTTTTGGGCTAATGAGATTTCCATACTCTGTGATTATCTGGCCCCCAAGTGCCCTTTCACAGTCAGGAAAGCAACACTTCTTCTGCCTTGCTTGGAGGAAAAATGAGAATAAAAAAGAGATGCCCAGTTAAACCACAAAAAATCCCACAGTCTTAGCTGTGGTCTTTGGTATCACTGACATGACCACTTAGAGAAGGACAATCAAGTTGAATGAAATTCTACATCCTTTTTTTAACATGAAGTCATTGAATCTGGAGGTAACAAGAATAAAGGTAAAAATCAGATATAAAGAACCTCACAAGAAATACAGACAATGAAGATAGTTTAGCACCCGGGGCTGAACAGAGCCACATAGCAAAACAGGCACCATTCCACCACCAACTTGGCCACCATCTTGGCAAAATGAGCAAGAGCTGAAGCAGGAAGATAGGTTGGCAGAGGACTGAGTGTCATGATCCTTACGAGTTGTCACTGAAAGAGGTCTTATCCTGTCCAAATCTTCCACCAAATCTGTGTTTGGATCTGCAGTAGGCTGAATCGATGTACTGTGACTGGTGTCCACATCTGAAGGGATTAAATCCATGTTATTGCTTTATTTCCTAAGCCACCACCTCAGGGCCATTTATGTTCTATGGTCAAGTTATTTTTATATTCAAACATGGTAAGAAGAAAGAAAATACATCCATTAATGTCTTTAGAATTGGGATAAAGGATTGTTTCTTTAAAAGACTGTCACAAGAAGTAGCTGACTTTCACTTAAACACTGAGTTATATGAAAGCTATAATTATGTCTGTCTGTGCTGGGTCTAAAAGTTCCACATGTGAACATATGATGAGATGCCCAAACCTTGCAGAGACGGACACGTGACCCATGCATGATTTGGTCCCATTCCATACACATAGCCTTTCTTAGTGACTCACACAACCTGCCACATGGACAAAAGACAAAGTGTACTGCTCAGCCATCATTTTGTGACTTCCTGCTTCCTGGGCAATATAACTATTATAATGACCTTCTGCTTTTGTTGAGTCTTTTTTTCCTTCACAAAGTGAGCATGCAGATAAAGACATAAAATCATCACACTGTGCTATCTAGGCAGAGACCACAGAGAGTACACAGGGGCAAGAAATAGGAAACAGCAGTGTCACTCAATCATTTCTCCCCTAAACATAAGTATGAAATGATTTTGGAATTTACTGTGCACAAAATGTTGAGTGGTGCAGAAACTGCACTGAGGTTTGTATAAATGCTATTTCTAATGGTCCTCATAGACCTATTCTGCTGAAATAACAGATCCTAAGTGAAACAGAGGTCAAACAACTCATAAACACCATCAACATTGCTGGCTCTCCAATTTAATCCATCCACGCACACTACTGCCTCTGGGGAGATTTAATCAGGTCCAAATGACTCCACAGAAAAGCACTGGAATATCGGGCACCCACATCTGCATTGCAGCCTTATGAACCCAAAGACAACCAAGATCTCTGTAGGATAAACATGTGTGGCTGACTCTGCTCTCCCAGATATCAGAAAAGGGGAAAGGTCTGCTAATCCAAACCAAAATTTCAAATGGGTAGTCTGCCAGAGAAAGCCCTGTGTGTTGATGGGCTCCAGGCATTATGGTTCATCTTCCCTGCTATGGGTAGAATCTATTAAGAGACATCACACCAACTAGAGTTGAAGCCAGTTGTTTTATCCTTGACATATTTATCCACATGGTGGAATCTCTTTCCTCAGCATGGAAATTTAACACTGATTCTGAGGATCATTAACTGGCTTGGTATTCCAACATAGATGTCATCAGAATCCCCAGAATCCATTTACATAAAAAACCTGTACTAGGTCTGCATGTGGCACTTCAATAACTCAACATGGAAGCCCCATTTAAACCTCTCTTCCTTTATGACAATTGGGTCTACTCACTCTGACTTATTCACACCTTGGCTTTTTTTCCTTTATGGCCCTCCTTACCTAAGTCTCCTTTATAGAAAAATCTTCCTCCTCCTTTCTTTCTCTGATTACTCCGGTTTTTTCACTTTTCAAAAATCAGATCTAATTCATCTTTCTCTAATGCTCTCTGGAAGGTATGGGCTCCTCTGAATTTCTTTAGTGTTTACTGTTGCCAGCATTCATTTCACGTGTATTACTTATTGTCTCACGTTGTTAGATCTATTTTGCTTCTAATTCTTTTTTGCCAGGTAAATGTTAAGGTTCTTAAGAGACATGACCGTGAGTTATACACCCTTTTGTTTCCATCATGCTTTGTACATTAGCAGGTATTTAATGTTGATTATAGTTAAAAGGATATTTGGATTACTAATATTTGGGCAAGAAATACAGGATCTTAAAGAAATGAAACTTTAAAAACTGTTGGATTCATTTTAGAGGTAACTTTGTATTTATTTAACACCAATAGATGTACTTATTATACTTAGAACTCATTTTAATGAAGTTTATGTGATGCATATGTTTGGAAATTTATATCCAGATAATATATTTTATTCCATGACTGTAAATTCACACCTCATTTTTTTTTTTTTCCGGTACCGGGAATCGAACTCATGACCTTGCGCTTGCCAGGCAGGCGCTGTGCCGCTGAGCTAAATCCCCAGCCCTCACACCTCATTTTGGCAATCCTGATTTATCTCTCTTTGGGAATGCTATATTTCTGTGATCAGAGCAGCTTGTTTACAAAAGAACAATAACCTTGAATTAATTCTACTCATGGATATAGTGAGAAATAAACATTCCTCTACCACTTGATATTGATACAAGAGAGGTATCACAGGCTGTCAATTCTTAAATATTCTCTCAGGTAAACTGTGCTCTGTCACAATAAAGGAAAATCCTTCTTGAATATAAAAATTGGTCAGATAAATTCATAATTTTCCATCATTGCAGATCTACCACCAGTGTCTTTTCTCTTTTAGAAATTTTCATGAAAAAAATAAAAAGAATACTCAAGAAAAAAGAATTTTATCTCTTATAAATATTGTCAACCCATTAAATTTAAAAACATTCATTGAGGGCCAACAGTAAACTATTGGGTACCATGTTATATCCAAAGATGGCAAGAATAAATAATGAAGTTTTCCAAGACTTTTAGTTATTTGTTTAGAATAACTACTCACCAATTTTTTAACCTGTCAGATTTCTCTTCAGAGATGAATATCTTTGAGTCTATATTAGAAATAGTCACTGAATCTATCACTTTATTTAAAAACCTTGCACATAGATGTAAAAAAAGAAATCTTAAGAATATCCCTTCCTTAGGGAAAATGACTTCTACTCTTTGAAGCCTAGGAATAATTATCCTTTAACCCTCACATGAAATTCTTCACTTTCAGCCCAGGATTTCATATTCAGGTGCACACCACTCTATTATGGGCTGTATCTAGCTGTCTCATCAAAGCCTTAGGTGGGGCTTTTAAGAGCTGGCTGGTTTTACGGAATGTGATACTACGATTAAGGGTGTGTGGTACTAAATCAGTCCACTGATTGGAATTAGCATACTTCTGGGTGTGGATAATGGGAAGGCCTACCCTGGGTGTGGGTGGAACCATCCTTAAACCTTGTAGCCTCAATGGGATAAAATGAAAAGAAAGATTTGCTGCCCACTGCCTGCCTTGCCAAGGACTGTGCCTTCTCTGTGATGCCCTTTTGCCCCACTGCCCTCCTTTGGAACCAGCCAACTATGGACTGAAACCTTTACAAACTGTGAGCTAAATAAACCTTTCCTCCTCTAACTTGTGGGTGCTGGGTATTTTGTCCCAGCAATGAGAAAAGTAACTAAGACACAATCCTATGGGGGAAAAAATCTACTTTTAAAGAAACTTCAACATCTTTAGGAAAGTAGATTGGTCTAAAACCAAGGGCATGTTTCTGGGGAAAAAGTCAGTGGATGTTAAAAGCATAATACATAAAAAAGCTCAGAGGCCATTACCCATCGTTTTTTCTGTCTGATGACCTCTTCTCATTGGATGGGAGACTGGGTCGAAGAACTCAGTCCAGGAAATGTCCTCTTGACTCTGTGTTGTCATTCTTGGACTTGGATGGCTGTTGTGGGCTGAGACAGTTGTGACCATGCAGTTCAAACATTTGTCAATGCATTAATTTACATTTGGCTGGGGATACACTGATATTTTTTATTCTTTGGATAAGACAATGAAACTATCTTCCTAGTGTGAAGAACAAAGAAGTTGCATAAGTGCAGAATGTTTTAGGAGGTTTGGTTCATGCATGCTAGTTTTCCTGGCAGTCAGCATGTGAACTGGAGGACACAAAACGTTCACAATTTCTGCAGTGAGCAGAAGATGAGTTATAGGCATCAAAGAAAGGTGAAGTAGTTCTTAACCCATGCTACCACAGTCCCTAAAGGAGGAAGTACAAGAGCCAGAGTGCATGATGTCACCGTAAAACACCCACATCCCAGTAAAATGCACAAGGATCTAGAGAAAGACGCAGGCCACACCTTCTCCAGTCATCAACAGGAAAGCAAATGCCATTCATCACAAAACATGAATGAAATCTGTTAGGAGCATTACCTTCTAACAATGAGATCTATGGCATAAGAATTTGCTTCATTCTGTGCCAGTAAAGAAGTAGAAGTAGAAAAAATTACAGTACTATCACCCAGCAACTACTGCACCACATAGCCATTCACTGAATCTATTGCTTTACTAGGAATTCATTCAGAAGTTGCCATGCACTGGAAAGATATTATGTGCTACATTCTAAAGTGCAAATGGAAGCATGGGATATTTCCCACCAGTATCAAGTAAGAATGAGAGATGCACATTATTTACTGTGCAGGACAGATCTCAATGCTTAAGTCACACAGACAAAAGAATCATGCATAGGCGCTTGCAGAGCCATGTTACTGACACCACTGAGAGATGATGACAAGACTTGAGTACTGTTACTACAATCTCACAATTCAAAAAAAGAGAAGGTGACTTATCTGTAAATCTGAGAAGAAACATTGTATACTCAAGGAGAAATTACCAAACAGATATGAACAAAAGGCCAAATGACATCAGACAGGTGTCAATTTGGTCATCATGTCTAGATCCACCTCTTTAAACACTAGGGTTCTGACAAAATTCTTTCTCACACACCGAGTGTTTTCCAGAACCACACTGCAAAGGTGGATGCACATTGGATAGTGGGTTCATTTACAAAACAGAAGGATGCACTTTATAAGATCAGGGCCTCTGCTGCAATCTCAGGAGGGACTGCCCAAAACTAGATATGGAAGTGACATACTAGAGGGCACAGTCTGTATGTACTGTTATATTTACTCCTGCTCAGGTGATTTGTTAGGAGTATTTAAGATCTGGCTTTGTGTTTAATGGAACTTGACTTATTAAGAAGCCTGACATCTTATGACAGTTCCTTCAGGGTCCTTTTGTTCAATGTCTTCAATGCCCCACATTTATCTCAAAAGGAAGTCTCTGCCCATATTTGCTTATGAAACTATCCATTACCAGTTGTCCCTGCTGTTGAACCAGGGTCTTCTCTGGGTGTGTGGGGATATTCCCCATGCCATCCACTCTCAAACCACTGTTCTTTCTGGGTAGCTGCTGTTTCTTCTGTTGTGCTACTATGAGCTGCCCAAGCTGTGAGAAGAACGTCAACTGTGAGCTACAGTTATCCAATTTCCCCACCAACAACACTTACCTTTCTATTTTATAGGCACAGACATGTGGGGAGAGAAAGGAGAAAAGGAATACAGCCCCGAGATAGGTCCCTGATATTCTGAAAGGGTGATTAGAAATTAAATGATCTCATCCTTTAATTTTTTAGATCAGAAAACTAAGGCCCAAAGAAATTTTGATTTGCTCATAATCACGCCTACAGATTGGATACAAAGTTAGGAATAGACCGTAGCCTATGAATTCCCATTATTACTATGATTTTACTATAGTCTAGGGCCTCACATATCCTTTCAGAGAGAACTGTGTTCAAATAATCTGTTTGTTCCAGTGATTCTAGAGGAGGAAATGTATTTTAAAGCAACTTACAGCAATGTCAGCATAGTAGGAGAACTTCTCAAATGGATCCCATAATATATAATCACAGACATTTGAAATGTACCAGTGATTTATTTGCACAGCATGAAAACTTTTGGAGTGACTGAAATGTTACTACACTGATCCATTATGTAGTTATGTCTAGGTGACATAAAATAACAAAGATTACTTCTTAACAAAACAAATACAGTGGCTATTCTAGCCAGTTTGGGGCAATATACAAACAAAAGCAATACGAGATAGGCTTAAACTTTCACCCACTTCTTTAAAAAAAAAAACAAAATTAATGAGATAAAATTCCATGAGGGTGCTGTCAGGAAAAGTCACAAAGCTTCTGACATTTTCATCAATAGCAACCAATAGCAAGGTTCTAGTTCATCTAGAAAATGAATGCCTATAAGCCTGCCAAGTGAAATTACTTTATGTGGCTTGTAACATTGATTGTATCTCATTATCTTAGGAAATGATACATGTGATTTGATAACAATGTATATATATATATATATATATTTTTTTTTTTTTTTTTGGTTTTTCTCCGGTACCAGGAACCGAACTCAGGACCTTGCGCTTGCCAGGCAGGCGCTTTTGCCGCTGAGCTAAATCCCCAGCCCCCTGAATATATTTTTTAAAATAAAAGTTACTGTCCTTATTTTGCCTTTGCATTGGCCAAACCATCCCTGAGGCTAACTGCTTATCAAAGGGGAGAAAAATGTCAGAATTTTAAATTTGACTTCCAACGGACTAAGTCACTTCCTCATTACAAATAATGATGTGAGAGAAACCCTGAATGTACAGAAATGGAAAAACTGATTCAAACATAGATTTTCAGAGTAACCAAAGCTGAAAGGAAACAGCAAGTACACATGTACACGTGCAAACACACACATCCCTCTCTCAATCACTACTTTTATAAATACAACGATCCTTTCAGGACCCAGTAGCTACCTCCTGTTTTCGGTGCCAGTAAGAATGGGTCAGCGGAATATGAGATTTCCATTACAGTATATGAAAACTCACTCTCTTTTAGAAGTTGTAATGTCCACTTGGTAAAGGCTAGAGGTCACCTGTCAGAATCCCTTTAAATTTTTGCAAGCATTATTGTTGCCTTCCTTTTGTCAAATTCTGTTATATCTGGTTTCTCAACTATCCTCTACTGGTGATGCCCCCATGCTACCCCTTTCTGACATTAGGTTCATTAATTCCAAGCCTCTTAAATAGCTTTTTGCTTAGATACAAGCTGTTGAGAATAATTTCTGAGATACACAGGTAGAACCCAAAGGTGACTGGTACTGAACCTTGTTGTATATACAAGGTTCTGCTTCCTTTCTATTCTTTACATTGTTAACTTAGGCTATAATCCTTATGCATATATCAAACCCATTGAAGTAAGTAAGGAGATGTAAGGTCTGTTGGACATGGCCAGTACAATGCTTGCATCTTATTAACCTGTGTTTTGAACTTTTCTATAGTTGTCTGAATACATCCCTCAAACCAGAGATTCCAAACTCCTTTGGCTTCTAAGCAGCTGTTTCATATACTTTCTTTTTAGGAGTATAAGGCTGTGAGAGTGGCAGTTGAACTACAGTTTTAAAAATTCTACAAACTATTTTTCCAAGTAAAAGCTTACTTTATTCCCAAAAAGATAGGCATGTCTCAGAGATGCAAATCTGAAAGGAGAATATATACTTTTTGGTTTTGGTTTTTGTTTTTGTTTTTGTTTTTTTTTTTTTGGTCGTATTTCTCACTACTCAAGTTCAATGGTGAGATTTGAGATTGTTTTAGACAGTGAGATGTTTGTACATAAGTAGAAAGAACAATAGTTAGATCAAAGCCTTCCTCAAGTTATCCTGGTTTGAAAACAGGAAAAAAAATTCAGCAGTAGAATTCAAATATAGATAGCATCAGCTACTGATTCTGCTCCAAGAGTAAAATGGATGGAAATTTTACAACATAGTGAGAAAAAGAAGGTGGAAAAAAAACAGGATTTCTCACAGATCTTGATAGAAACTAAGGATTCCAAAGGTCTTTCCACTTAAGCTTTCCTTCCATATCCCACTCCCAACCCCCCAAAGGGCATGCTTTCCTCCACACGCTTCCGTAAACACACACACAAATCTCCCAAAAGAACCTCTATGCCTCTGGAACACAAAAACTCAGATATGCTTTTGCAACATTTTGGCCTTTTGGGTAACATGACAAGTAGGCATTTTTCTTCCAATTTCTAAAACGTTGTGTGCTAATTTAGCTTCTCAATCTCTATAGATAAAAGAAATTACTGTGGGGAGATAGAAGATGTGTCCAGTGTCTAAACAAGGTCTCAAGGTCTCCCCCGTCCCTGGAAGGCCTTTACTAACTCGTGTAAACAACACCTGCTGACCGCCATCCTTCTTACTTGTGCTTGGAGGATGTGGGGTCTCCTCTTCATCCTGATGCTCATGGTGAGTGAGAGGGGGCTGTGCATCTTGGGTCCAGTTTTCTCCATGAACACCGGTGCCATTTCTGTCTACCTCTGTTGTGGTGATGGTTAAATACACTGTGACTTTCATCAACCAACTTTGAATGATTCTCTTCTTCCATGAAAGTGAATACTCTGCCTAAACACTCTCTCTGAGCATCTACTCTGAGTAAATTCAGGCGATTTTACTAAAATGTACCCCCCCAAAATGAACAGGTATGAAATGTCTCCGTGATTACTTATTATTCCACCATAGCCACTTTGTCAGAGACAGCACCATAAACCATTCTGATGCATTCATTTTTATAAGAAAGCAACATAACATAGCCTGTGCCCAGATGGTGTGATTTATGAAATGATTCCTAAGTGAAATTGAGTATCTTCGTGAAAAGCTCACAAAGAATTTTTGGTGAGATATTAAACAAAGTTCCCACTGCTTCCTATGACTGACCTTCGCAGCACCACAGGCTTTGAAGGAAAAAATATTCTTTAATTGAACGTGCATAAGTCATTACCAGTCATCCTGGTGGCTGTCTGTACTTCTGTGATGGAATGGCTTGGCTTCCATTGGATCCAGTCCTGGTGCTGTTTTGTGGGGTCAGAAACTCGTGGAGTGGTTGAAACTGTGACAATGACGAGTGAAGCAATTAGGAAAACGGTATTTTTTGAGGCTTCTCCACTTGTTCTGCACATGTCTCCTTCTGTCGTCTGAACGACTCATCTATACGAGGTCGTATAGATGGCTGCGTGGAAACGAAGGGGAAGCAGAGTGTGCCTTCAGCTTGGCTCAGCCACATGGTTAAGCATCTCAGTGTCCTTCACATTCTGACACAGAATATCTTGGGGTTCAGAACATGAGATCTTCTGGGAAAAGCAGTCGAAGAAGCTGGGGCAGCGGGAACAACAGCATTGAAGACATCAGCCCTCCACCAAGGATAATGAAAGACACCAGCATTTTGTCCATCCATGCAGACTACAGTGGCCCTCTGCACTTGAAAGACCACGGAATTGGAATCACTAGCAAGAATTCTACCTGCAGATCCTTAGGCTAGCAGGGTTAATCACTGAAAGTTACACACAATAATCACTATTCATTAGTAATTTTACTAGGGACAGAAACATCCTGGGCAGCTGAGCTTTTCTCTAGATGGTTCTGAGAAAGAGTATCTACCCAGAATTGTCATATGGCTTAGTGATATATTTCTGAATATTTATCCAACATCGATGATAGTCTCTGTTTTTTTTTTTGTTTGTTTGTTTTTTTGGTCTTTTTGAGACAGGGTCTAGCTATGCAGTTCAGGCTGGCCTTGAGCTCACTTTGTAGCCCAGACTGATCTTGAAAGCGCAACAATCCTCCTGCCTCAGCCTCCTGAGCTCTGGGATTACAGGCATATGCCACCATACCCAGCTGATATTCTTATCAAATACAAAACATATTAAGAGCAAGCCATTCATAGCCAATGAAAGAAAAACAAGATGCATACATTCAGTAGAAAAAGGCCAGAGATAACCAACCACCATCAAAACCACCACACCAAAAGTAAAAGTATCCATCCACCAATACCCTGATATTGTTACCCAAAATATTAGGGCTCGAATAAGAGATGCAACTAACAGAAGGATCATGACAAAATTAGAGCCTATGTCTTTTCTGAAAAGTTACTTGCAAATCAACCTTCTTTCCAACTTCAATTTTATACCCAAATCATACAAAATTATTGCACAAATTAAGAAAAGAAAATTTGGAATCATTAACCACATTCTCAACACGCATGAAAATGTGAAAACTACTCCACAGACACACAAAAAAAAATAACATGCGGGAGGCCAAGGATCTAACTTAGCAGCACAGCACCTGCCTGGCAAGTGTGAGGTCCTGAGTTCGATTCCCGGTACAAAAATAAATAAATAAATAAATAAAATGCTGAATTTTTCCTTAGAGCCTGGCCATGTGGCTTATTTCCAGGTTGACCTTCTGGGTTACCACCCAAGGGAGTTTAGTTTCTCAAGTACCAAGGCCTCATCTTTACTGGTGGGGCTCACCCTGCAAGGCTGGGCCATATCCTGAACCCAGGATACACTACAGTCCAGCTCCAGTAGTTTTGCTTATTCATTTTCATTCTGAAGTTACTAAAAACAGTATAGGCTAAGCTCACAGGGATGTTCAGCCTAACGAATATATCACTTAAAAGTTTGCAAATAAAAAATTAAGTTTATCTTGAGTATATTTGAGTCATATATTCTGCTGCCTTCAAGGACTAAGTTACTTTTTTTGATTTCTTCTACCTTGAGTGATATTCCTTTGGGGATTAAACTCTCAGGTTTCAATGAGAGACACACCTTTTTTGATCTGAGAGCTCACATAGCACCCCAACTGCTTAAAAGCAGAGCTGTGATACAGTCAGGTTCAGGATTCTTGTCTTTGTCCAGCAAAATCTGAGATCATTATATGTATGTGTAGGAAACACAATCATTTGTTAAAATGTTAGACCATGTTTGCGTTTTATAAATTTCTTAAAGAATATTTTCAGTTCAATTTCCAACTCTCTGTTCTCACGACCTTGTATATTGTCATGTAGTGTTGCTACTATTTGCTTTCCATAATTAGCACTGTCTTTCAGTAATTAGCACAGCTAGGCTGGCATTTCACCCTTCTTTTCAACATTTTTCTGCTAAATTGGTACCCAGCATGTTTGTTAAAAGTCTGGGTTTGTTCCTTTGACTTTAACCAGGTTTAACAAAGACAATTCTTGAAATCTAGCTCTCATCTTCTGAGCCTTTCAAGAACCTTCTTAGCCTTAGGATTTAGGAACATCTACAACTTTTAATTAATACACTCCTAATCACATTCTCCAGTAGTTCCTTAAGACAAAAGCTCTGGTTTTTTCACCTGTGTGCACGGAGCACCTAGCACAGCAGGTACACATGAATATTTGTTATACTGCCTTGATATATTGTTCTGTAAAAAAGAGAACCTACAGTAGCAGACCTCCTTGACAAACAAAACAGAAACGCCATAGAGCATTCAAAATTTTGTGAGATATTTTCCTCCCTTCTCCTCCAAATATGATTTGGTTTTCACTAAAAGTAACTTTTTTCTTCCTCCATAGTCTCATTAAGGTATGTATAACTAAGGCATGATTTTTCACATTAACTGCTTCTCAAGAAAGTCTTAGGCACCACTTAGATTAAGCAATAAGCCTTGCACACAGGGTTCTACTGTAATTGATAATTCTTACTGGTACTGGAGATAAAATCTTCATCATCATCAATGCCTGATCCAGAAAAACTGAGGTGTTTGTCTCTGTCCTCTTCGTTATCTTCACTGGGCTCCCAGCCTGTTGACATGGTATTTGAATCCGTACCTGTTGTAGTGACTTGCATTAGTAGCTGAGCTGGATGCCAACCAACCCATTTGTCAAAGGAAGATAGGCACAGAGGGTGTACCAGCTCCCAAGATTTTAAGAAGAAAGTGAAAGGGTTGAGTTGTCTGCTCCAATTTCTTAGGTCCTTGTCTCTGAAGATAATACACAGATTGCAAAACAATTGACTATGTTCTTTATGAGTAAATATTCTCTTTCAGGAAGCTAAAGGAATAAATACATACAAACAAAACAAGGCCAGTGGAAATTCGCTCATCCTTGCAAATGCATTTCTTATGAACTCAATAAGCATATTCTGTTAAAGCCAGGATATCAAGAATACGATAGAAAAGTTTTATACATGCCTATTTGCTTAGTCAAGACACTTTCAGAAAAAACTTGATACATAATCCCATGCCAAACACTTCTGAAATCCTAGCCAGGCATGACTGCAAATGCTTGTAATCCCAGCACTTGGGAGGTTGAGGCAGAAGGTCACTGTGAGTTTGAGGCCAGCTTAGACTAGATAGTGAGTTCAAAGCTAGACTGTACTACATAGTGAGACCTTGTCTCAAAAAAAAAAAAAAATCATTACATTTATTGCTTAAACTTCGCATCAGCTCACTATGGCTGTAAACCCGAGTGGAAGCAACACTGCCATTTCCAATAGTACTTTTATATAGAAAAAGCAAAATCAAAAAGCTATTCAATTAGAGAAATTATTCCTGGCATTTATTAGTCAACCAACAGGGTTGATAAAAATGGACCAGCCCAGATCATAAGAACTTCTCATTCTTTTCTTTTGGATGCAGTCATAATAAATGATATGGAAAATACCTCTTGTCAGTGGTTATTGCGGAAATTATCCCTTTACCAAAAAGGGATTTTCTACCTTTTGAATGAGATTCAGGATATCTTACCAGATGGCCCTTTATTTCATACTATTAGTGCCCAAGAATAATTACTGATGGAGATTGTCTATATTTTATTAGATCTAGCTATGCTATTTTATTTTCTCATCAGAAAATCAAGCTTTTCCACTTTTGTAATTTGAGAACATGCATAAACACTCTTTCAAAGTTGAAGATTTGTTTCATTATCAAAACCCACTTCCTTTTCACACTTTCTGTAGCATCCTCCTCCTGGGCTATCCCAATCTCTTGGAGTTGAAAGATGAAAACTGCATATTAGTAGTACAATATTAAACACATAGATCTCAGAGCCCACGGTCCTTGTTAAATCATTACAAACATTTGTGAGGTTGGGATGGACCCTAGACTCTAGCAACATTCCACAGGCTAATGAGAATGAGTAAAGACTGTCAAAAAGCATATGAGAGACCCATAACTCATTACCAGCCATTTTTGTTCTTGTGTGAAGAGTCTTGGGCTCTGATGGTTGAAACAACCATGACAACCAGTTGTGAATTCCTTGCCTCTGGTTTGCTGTTGTGAGAGCTGCACCACTAGCGCTCATCAAAGCTGTTGTAACGTGATTGAATTGATTGTTGAAAGGTTAATTAGCAGTTCCTAAGAAACAACGCTGTATATGCTTTCAGTCTTTCGCTACTTAACTTAAAAGAATCACCTATATTCAACACAGGTGGTGGAAAGTTAGAGAGAAGGCAAAGAAATTCTATTTATTTTAGAGACCCAAACGAGTTCATAAAATGTCAGGGATGGAAGGACCAAAAATATCTGGCTCATGCTCCTTATTTTAAAAGATGGAAAAAAAAAAAAAACAAACAAACCCTGCTGAAAAAGCATCTAATTTGTCCAAAATCTGAAAACCAATCAGCCTCAGAGAGGTCTCAAGGACAGTCTGTGAGCTGTCTTTCAATTTGGAAAGTCTACAATGTAAAAAAGGAAGGAATTTTTTCTCATCTCCCAGAGAGAGGGCCAAATGAGAACCTGATCTGAACATTTTCAGGGAGATGGATGCTCTTTCAAATATTAGATTTTTAAAAATAATCTGAACTATCCAAGAATGAATTTCTTCATGAAGTATTGTGTTTCCCACTATCAGGGAGATCATTTGGCAGGAAAGTTGTGTAAGAGATTAAATGATTAGAAGTATTGATTGAACCAGTCTACTTGAGATCCGCTCCATATCTGAGCATTTATGATTCTAAAATTCAGCTGTTTAGAATTCTAGTCCCTTGATCTTCTTCTATACAATGTATCTTGGCCAACCAATATCATTCTCCAAGAATTCAGGATACGATATTTCTGCCAGAAATCACAGACACATGATCCCAGAAATCCCAAACACAGAATGAAATGACACCAAGAAGCCTGTTGAAGAAGATGCCTTGCAATTTTCCCCAGTTAGACTCCACATCCTCCAGCAAACTTGCTCCCAAAGCCCAGACAGACAGGCAGAGATGAAATGATCCAATAATCCCACTGATAAGATCAGAAGCAAGAGTCCTGACTTGAAAAGACTGCCATTTTTGCCACCATAATATGCACTAGAAGAATATTAGGTAATAGATTTTTAATAAGCGAGAACAAGTTCAGACAGAGAGGCTGAAATAATCAACCGTCATTAAATCCCCACGTACAAAACCAAGGTGAAGTTTCTTTTTTTAGTTATCATGAAAGGCAAGAAGAAACATGGCCAGTGAAACCTTTTCTTTCACATTATTTGTTCTATGAGGATAAACATTGTAAACACTTACAAAATAGCATTTCCTTTATTCTAAAATCTCTCTCCTCCCACCTCTACCCCGGCATGATCTTAATTACTATGCTATGGCAACCACAGGATAACATCATTCCTTACATAATTATTTGTAGAAGTGAAGGATATCCAATGTCTTATAAGATAAACAAATTTAAAAGACCATTTTTCCATATTTATTCATCCCGTTCTGCAGAAAGAATGACTAGTGATTTTGAAATACGGCTGTATCCTCCATCAACAAAACTTAATAAACAAAGATATATTTGGAATCTCCTACTGTTGTACATTGAATTTTCCTCTTCCCACTTCCCAAAGCTCCCAGATCAAAGTACTTTGCAGGAATTTAGACAACAGTCGAACATCCAAGAGCTTTTTACTGACCTAGATGCCGATGTGGAGCAACAGGCTGTTTTTTACAGTATTTTGCAGTAAAGGCTGTAAGTGTCCAAAAACCATCCAGGGTCTGAACTTTCCATCTGTAAATTAGCATTCCCCTCTTTTATTACTGACCATGTAATTAAGCCAGCAGAAAGCAGGTGTGTGCATCTGCTAAAAAGCTTCTTTCTAGAGGACATTTTGTGAATTAATCTCCTGCTCAAAGCCTCTGAAGGAAAAATAATACTGATTCTATGTAACCATTGCCAAAAGTAAAAGAAATTGGGTCAGTTGGGAGCATGCAGACACACCCTCAGATCCATAGGCATCTGTGATAAGCAAAATGGTAGCCAACTATACTCTTATGAGATGCTGAAAGAACACCCTTGGGAAACTCTGGTATAATAATGAATATCTTTTCCTTTAACACTAAACAACCTGGCATTCGGGATATCTGATAAGCAAAGACATAACAGTTTACCTGTTGTTGCTGTTGTCGTAAGAGCCTGAGTCTGAGGCTGTGAATTACCAAACCAGGACCATATCCAATCATTTTGCTCCTGATCTGCTGCATGGCTGTTTGAGGTAACTGGATCAATTATGAAAATATCATTTAGTGAGGTTCCCTCTTAGCATCTACTTTCTGTTCAGTCTATATATACTGCTGCATGTATAATAAGGATTGAAAAATAGAAATTAAGGTCTAGTTTTACCTTTCCAGCCTCCTAACATCTCCAGGTATCTTAGGACAATAACACCCAATTTGTACGGGTATCAATCCAATGTTTCTCAAGCTTCAGACTGAACCCCCAGGAACCATAATCAGCAAAGTCAAGCAACAACTTAATATTGTGATGGAAAGAAATGTTATTTTCTTGATTGGGTGATGCAGCCATGAACAGAAGGTGTTTGGTACAGCACAACATAAAGATGCTCCCGTTTATTTATCCTTGCAGTGTCCTTGGGGATACCTCCCTGTATCTTTTGGGTCTGTCTAGAATTATGTCCAGGTAGGTTGTAATAAAAACTGGTGCTTTCCACCCATTCCCATCAAACTCAATTCAGCCTTCTACTTGAGCAAGAACTTGGCAAAACATTGTCCAAAATGTTAAAATCAGAAAACACTTTCTCAAATATCCATGCACTACTTTGTCACATTTCATTCAAATTCAGTTATGTGCTTCCAGAAATAAAACAAAACTGCCAATGTCAAAGAAATGCTGAACTCTTTTCAAATTAGAGAAAGGTCAATACTAACATTTTGTAAGTTAAAAATCTCTCCTTCAACTCTCATGCTGGAGAGAATGTTTCCCTACAGAAGCAACATGGCAAAAAATCATCAGGATAAATATTTGACCCAGCTGGAATGTTCACAAAAACATTTAAAATCACATACCCCTTTGAAAAATCTGATATACTTTGGCCTTTCTTCTCACAGACAGGACCCTACAGATGAACACTCTCAAAGTCTTACACACTATTTCAGGTGATTCTTGGCTACCTAGTAAAATCTACTGAAAACCTATGAAGCCGAGTTAAAAATTATACATACCAAACACCAACACCAGGTCCTATGTAATAAACAGTTCTACAAGAATTAGTTCAGAAAGAGAGCAGAGAGATGGGGCCAGTTTCACTCATGATGCCCTCAGTAAGCCTGGGCACCCCCTGGGCTATCCACAGACACTGCATTCTCATTTTAGAAACTTTGTTAAAGATACAGTTTCAACACACTCACTGCATGGTATAACGTGCGCGGAGCACAAGAAATAAGTTCTCATGAGCAAGATAGAAAAAGGCATTATCTCTGTCCTCCTACATGAGACCGAAGAATTTAAAAAAAACAGCTGTGGCTTACCCAGCAATTTCCAATTTGTTCCACCCAACTAGATCATGCCAGACCCCCCTCCCCCCAAAATTATGAGCTTGACACCCAGAAGACAAGGAAATGGAGCTTTCCAAGGCAGGAGTCTGCTTCCTGAATTAGTTTAGATTTCTTTTTGTCCGGAGTTTCAGATCGCCAATAGGAAGCGCCTGTTCACATGCCTCCTGGAAAGCTCTTCCAAAACTAATATTTACAATCAACAGCCTGCAGGATGTCCAAACCCAAGGAGAGAGTAGTTCTCACAGCTCTCCCTATGGCCACCCACTGGGCACAGTTACAGAAGCATGATTCAGTCAAGCCAAAGACCAGCTCCTTCTCTGCATTCAGCCAGCTCTCCACTTGACCTCTATCCCCTTGCATGCATTAGGGAAGATTTGCAATCACTCCCACTCATTATGTTCCAATTCTCAGTCCAACAGTGATAAGGCTTTGGGAATCCCCTTGCGATTCTACTCTAATTTTTTCTAGTATGTGTTATGCTATGCTCAAGTTTCCACCTGAGTATTGTTTATTCGTTTGTTTGTTTAGTTTCAATGCTTTTTTTTTTGCATGAATTAATCCACTTGGAGGTGCCATTAATTGACCTTACTAAATCTTTAATCCTTTCAGTTACTCTTTTTTTTTTTTTTTTTTTTTTTTTT